TTATCCATGCGCTTATTCTTTTGAGACAATATGTAACTATACAATACATATGTTCGCTAAATGATTTTTCTCGTTCTGTTCTATACGCATGTTTAATATTAGGAGTACATAGTGTGACTGAAAAAAATATCTTACGAAGAAAAAAATCGAACACATGTGTTATAATATGACGAAGAGAGACAATTTTAATTATTAGATTTTGTTAACACCAAATTGATAAGTTAATATGACAAAAACTTTAATCTCCAGTTCTTGTAATAATATGTATTAAATTCAAAAAATATCGCAAAAATAGAGGCAATTTGTTTCGAATCAAAGACCATTCAAAAGCGAGGATACGGTATGCATCATTTTAGATTTGTACATTCGATACTCATACATATGAATTTCAGTAAATAAGATCAACTACATCCTTTGGGATTTTCAAATATTTCGTATTCCATAAGTTCCATAGAGAACTATTTAATCTCATACACTGTTGACTACTAAATCAATGTTAACCATTGTACTCCGTAGATTGATGTAAACTAGGACTATACATCGATCTATTATTACTGATTTTGAACGGTTTTGTTTTTGTAGTTGTCAATCTTCTATAATTAATTTTCAATAAATCGAACTTCGACGGTAGATTGAAACATAATATTTTCTAAGTTGTTATTTGAGGGTATAGTGGATATATCGATATTGTATTTTTGTGTTTTATTTTCGCAGATCTACAAGAGCATAGTAACTCAGATTTTCTTAATGTATCAATAAATATAATTTAATGTAAATATGCATGACATTAAATTTCAGTTAGTTTGAAAGACACTCCTTTTTTTGTTAAAATAATGTGTAATATTATACCGCTTGAATTTGAATAGATTATATCAAATACTTCCTTATCATAGTAAATGATTCATATGAATAAAAAAAGATATGCATTATTGTGATTTAAATAACAATTTAATACAACGATCAATAAATATTCCATGTATTTGAGATAAACCAAGATCTTAAATAAAACCTGATCATGTTCTCTATACTATACCTGGACACATAATTTCTTCAACGTAATAATGAAAAATAATGGTAAAAGAAACTTCTTGATACAGTTTTTAGACATGAAATATGAATGACATTATATTATACAAGTTTTCAGTGATGAATCAAAATAAAATCTGTTATACAAACACATATACTGATTATAGTTCAAGGATAGATTTACAACAAAATAAATCTTCCTTTCTATTCGGATATATACGTTAAGTTGATATATCAGATAGATTTCTATCAAAATGTTTATTGTAAAACTTGAAGTTCATTTTAAAGATGTGCTTCGTAATAATGGCAATGAACAATAAAAATGAATGTGTTACAGTTAAATTTGAACACATCGATGAAAGTTCACTTTCAGAATGAGTTATGAAATTTTGATATGAAAAATAAAAATTGTTTAGAAAGAAAAAATGCACGTATTAAAACGTAAATACTATTAGATATTTATAAAATTAAAATATAAGAATTAGGTAAGTGTAGGTAGAGCTAGCGGGGAGTGATATGAATTCTTGATTTCTCGACATACGCATTCAAAGTGATCAGCTTCTGCCACGATTATCTCAGCAATGAAACATCCGAAAATACTCGTTTAAACGCGAGATCAATATATCGAAATCGTACTGCTACGATGTGTTTTCTAATTTTCAACAGGACATTTAGTTCGGTTACAGAAAGCATCGCAAAAACACGATTTTGACTTTTTTAGATTTCGAAATAATTACTAGATGGTATTCGAGTTTCACTCGTCTAAAAAATGCGATGCGAAGCTCAATTTCGAAATAACGACTTTAAGGTTTTCACAACATTATCTAGTTGATTCATTATCTATTATCAGCTGTGATTTCAGCTGTGAAACAGTTGTTAGAGAAAAGTGGTGCCTAACATTTGATTTTCGTTTTCGTTTTAATTATCTCGAAATCTGAAAAAGTCAAAATCGTGTTTTTGCGACGCTTCCTATAAACGAACTAAACGTCCTGTTGAAAATTGGAAAACAAATCGTAGCAGTACGATTTCCATATATTGATTTCGTGTTTAAACGAGTATTTTCGGACGATTCATTGCTGAGATAATCGTGACAGAAACTGATCACTTTGAATACGTATGTCGATAAAGTAAGAAAGATAGAAAGAAAGGAAACTAACTCACGAAGGACTACATAAATACTTCTGCTTCGCATCCCATTAATAATTAAATGATCAATCATAATCTTTGCTGAAGAATACGTTTGAAAGACTTGTTGGAGATTTCTTTGTATCAACTTTTGAGTTTCGATAATATGGTATTTGTAGTTATTAAAAAATTTCAAAAAAGTCTTTGTAATATTATTTGTAGCAATTCTTTAATACTCAATCTCGTATTCTCGACAAAGTCAAGGTACTATCTATTATCGGAATTTCAATTGTGCGACTTCAAATATGTATTGTGTGCTAACTATTGCATACAGAATATTATCTTCTCAATCACTACATTCCAAAAAACATACACTGAATATTTTATATAACAAAAAGCGAGCGTTAATATTTTGACGATATGATGGCAATTATTGTATTATTTAATAGATGAAAGTATGATTTTGAATCATCTAAAACCGAAGACCCAAGAAATGAACTTTTTTTGTTTGACTTTATATTTATTGATGAGCTTGTAGAGATCACATTAACGAACTATTAGATAATTGAATTAATATTTTTATTTGAAATTTATGGTTTTCTGTTTATATTAAATATGTCATCTGAATAACTAAGAAGTACATTTAAAGATCATCTTAATGAAAAAACCTATTTTTTCTTTTACGATGATAGTTCAGATATCAGTTGATCTCTCATTTATTTTGAACATAGCCGTCTATTGTGAATTTAACAAACAGGTGATATAATACAATGAAAAGAATGTTGAATGTGTGAAAGAAATGTAAATCGATCCTTGAACTCGATCAATACATACATAATCTCAATGAGGTCGAAAACGTTAATCCTTCATTCTTATTTTTCTTTTTATTCTGAACAAACAATAGATATGCTTCCTCCTTTTTATTTCGTTTCTTTTCAAACTACTGACACATATACACATACGATTCGCATCATCATTTTATTCATCAACATGCAGTTGAGCATACTTCAACTGTTCTCTTTCTTTGTATTTCTCTCATATGTGTCAACGGGTAAACAAGAAAATAGTTTAAAAAAAAAATTATCTAATTTTACTTTTATAGATATGAGAATTGTTTGTTATTATGCAAATTGGTCACTTTATCGTCTTCCAAATACTCCTATACTATATCCGGATGCCATTCATCCATCGCTTTGTACACATATTCATGTTGCTTTTGCATTGATCAATCCTACCACATTTAAAATTGAACCAAGTGAAAAACATGATACACATCATACAGATATATTTGGGACGGTAGATTAAAATATATATATTTATCTTTGTCTTTTTTTAACAATTATTTTGTATGTGATTTAGCCGTTGTATCATAGATTACTTAAATTAAAACAGCAGAAATCTTCATTGAAATTATTAATAGCCGTAGGAGGATGGACAGCAGGTAGTGAAGCATTTAATAATATTTTAACAAATTCTACAACGCGTACAACATTTATTCAACGAACAAAAGATTTTTTACATGAATGGGATTTTGATGGAATTGATTTAGTATGATTATAATCAATTAATATAGAAATTATCTTTTTTTTTGTTAGGATTGGGAGTTTCCAGGTGATATAGAACGAGGTGCTATGAATAATTCTCGTGAACAATTTAATATTTTAATAAAAGTAAATAATTGATTATTAAGATTTATTGAAAATATTTTCTTTTAGGAAATGCATGAATCATTTCATAATGATAGTAAATCTTTTCTTTTAACTGCTGCTGTTTCGGCTGATCCAACCAAAATTGATAATGGTTATGTAGTACCTGATTTTTGCCAGTAAATATTATATTAATAATTTAACTGTATTAAAATATTCTTTTCTTTCTAGTTATCTTGATTATGTTAGTGTTATGACATATGATTATTATGGTGCTTGGGATAATGTCACTGGTATTAATGCACCACTTTATGGGAGAAATTATATTGATGAAGATGATGATAGACATTGGAAGAATGTTGTAAGTTATCAGAATGATAAAAGTATTTTATATCAATTGATTTGTTTTCATAGAATCATTCAATTCATTATTGGATGTCTAATGGTTGTTCAGCAGAGAAACTTAATTTAGGTTTAGCACTTTATGGTCGAAGTTTTACATTAATGAATAATTCAAATTCAATTTCAATCGGTACAGAAACCATTGGTAGTGGTTTAGGTATAAACATATGATTTAAATTATTAAAATTCTTTTTTCATCTATTATAGCTGGACCATTTACAAAAGAAAATGGTACACTAGCATATTTTGAGGTAAATATGTTAGGTTATATATTAATTAATGTATATATTTCAATAGATTTGTCAAAAATTACGAGTATTTAATTGGACACGTGTTTTTGATACGGATGCTCAAGCTCCTTATGCTTATAGTTCATCGTCAAATCCTTCCGAAAAACAATGGATTGGATATGATGATTTGAAAAGTATTACTGTTAAAGTATTGATCGAACTTTTTTAACTAATAATAATGCAAACAAAGTTTGTCTATTAAGGTTTTATATGCTAAAACATTAAATTTAGGTGGAGCAATGTTATGGTCTATTGATCAAGATGATTATACAGGTTTATTCTGTAATCAAGGAGAATTTCCATTTACATATCGTGTTCGTGATATTCTTCTCTCATCGAATACATATGATGAACAGGATACTTTTACTACAACAAAATTACGAACAACACAAAAATTTACTTTTGTTCCAATTCGACGAAATACAACACAAAAACACAAAGTAACATCAACATTTACTAATGAGAGTGTTAAAAATAGTGAAATTTTTTATTCATTATTTATTATTTTGTTAATAATTATGATGAGATAAGAAATAAAATGTAAATATGCACAATGATTGATTTTAGTTTTTGAAAATCATTGGAATGAACTATTGACACTTACTTTTATTCTCATTTTTGTTTAATTATACAATATGACATATGTTGAACAATATCAAAGAGTAGTTATTTCATTCTAATTTTTACTGATATTTTATATAAATTCACGTATAATTTTTTATATTGTTGAAAACATCTTGACTATTAAAGCAGTATACATAGTTGCTGTCGATTATTTTGCTATTGAATTAGAAACATTATGATATATAATTACATCGGAAATTCTGTTCAAGAACATCTGTGTAAAATATACCACCAAGTCTGAGACCAAATCAAGATTCTCGTTCTTAATCACAAACATGCTCATAACCAATGTAAAATGTAATTGATCTTTAGAATATAGAACAAAATATTATAGCCATCTTTCGAACATAGTATGTCCGTTACTTCATAATTACCGAAAGAATAAATTAAATCAATCATCAGTTGTAAAATACATTATTAGTTAGGATGTGGGTGTGGTTATGGGTGTAATTTCTACTTTTTACTCACCCACACCTTATAAGTTGTTTATGTTAACGATAGATCTAACAAATTCCAAGTAAAATACATTCTGATTATTTTTTATATTAAAAAACGTTCTGCTCAAATACTCATTTTTTCAATTACCTCTTCTAACTCTAATAGTTATTCACAAAATTAGTACTAATTGTTCTGATTTTTTTGACAATTATGATGAACTTCTATCCTAAAACACAGCATTTCTGATCCATTCATATTCTTTCTATGTATAGTCTTTAATAAGTATCTTGTTAAAAAAAAGTGTAACAAAAAATAATAATATTATATATAATGAAAAGTGATATTAAAATCTTCAATTAACTATCAAATGCAATATTTAATACATCTTACATAAAGTCTAGTAACTTTTGAAAGTTCATATAAAAAAAAAAACTGGCTAAATATTAACGTGCTGTTAGTTAGCAACCATGGAGTAGAACCAAGATGAGCAATAGAAAAAGTTATACAAGTGCATTAATGCATAGAATAAATAAATACTCATGAGAATAATGAGTCAGAGTATGCAAAATACTGACATATAAAGTATGATTGCAAATCATATTATTTTTTTTTCTTATACAGAAAGAGGATAGGCTTGAAATTACCTTACTTCTAATAATAAATGTTTGACGTCAGATACAGTTGCATTCTATCGAAGCAAGTGAAAAGAACATCCAAATAATATATGTATAAACAAAAAAAGATACTAAAATAGAATGTACTTAATATAAGTTTTATTTTATCATTTTATTGTCTCTTCTACGACTGATAATTATACATATAAATACACGAAAAATATTGCTGTATACTCGGTATATGAAACGAAAATCAACTAGATAGCGAAATAAGAAGCATAAAGTATGTTGATTATATTTCTAATTCTACTGTTCGCACTTATTACTTTGTTGGTTTACTATTATTTTCTCGTTCAACAACGTTACCAGTATTTCAAGCAGCGAGGTATTTCTACTCCACCCTTCAACTTCTTCTTTGGTCATTTCAAAACATTATGGAATGCTCCATTGTATCATCGTCAACTTGAAAATTGGTCAAAACAATATGGCAAAATCTATGGAATCTATGAAGGAACTCATCCTGTTTTAGTTGTTAGTGATCCTGATTTTCTTCAAGAAGTCTTTATTAAACAGTTTTCTGTTTTTCCTACTCGAATGATCACTATGTTAGATGATATAAGCCATAATCTTGCTTTCTCAACTGGTTCAAAGTGGCGTCGTCAGCGTCATGTAATGAATCCGTCATTCACTGCAATGAAGCTCAGGGCAATGAGTCCTCTTATCAATGGATCTATCAGCGATTTAATAGATAAACTACTCGAACATTCAAACATTGGTGGTGAATTCAATATTTATCTATATTACAAACGGCTAACTATGGATATTATATGTAAGAAAATGTTGGGATTTTTCTTTTTTTTCAAACATAAAGTATAAGTTGTTGATATCCTTCTTTTATCTGACGCTGAGTTCAGACTGTGTTCTCTAGTTACATTATCTTACAGTTACGACTATACAGAATAAGTTTTATGTACGATATAATCATACATTATTAAAAGTAAATATTCAAAGTCTATCTCGTTTGTGACCAGGGCTATAAACAGAGAGATTGTTCAAAGAAAATCGAAGACTGTCCATGATACTTTAATCTGCTAAGTAAATTGGAAAACGGACTTTAAGAAGGTATTCTAAATCAAATATTTAGAAAGTTTGAGTTTTCACTATGTAAAGATCAGTAAAGAAGTCCACATGCGGTAGTGTTCGATTCGAGATTATGAATGATGTATAATAACAAACAATTCTAACTCTTTTTATTTCTGATATGATTTTAGTTCGATGTGCATTTGGAATTGATATTGATTTACAAAATAATCCAAACCATATTTATTTTAAAAAAGTAGAAGAATTGGTTGGTATTCATACTGTTCTGAAAAGTTCTATATTCAAAATGACTCAACTAGTACCTGAAATTAGAGATATCCTTGGTCGATTATATATTAATCACAATACTGCACGAAAGTATATTAATACAAGAGTTTTACCATTAATATCATCAACAAAACAGTTGGATGAATCAGCATTTGCGTGGCTACTGAATCGACTACATACAATTGTCGAACAACGGCAAGAAACACCTATATCGAGAAAGGATCTTCTTCAACTTATGCTACAAGCAATGACCAAAGAACCAAATCAGGTAAGCAACATTCAGAGTATTGCATAATTTTCTTCAAACTACAAATTTTAAAGTGACTCTTTGATGATGAATATCTAATACAATGATAAAACAATGTTCCAAAAAAGAATCAGTAGCATATCTGTTAGTAGGCTAATAAAAGACAATAGAATCGAGAAAACAACAGTTATATTGAATAGTTTGATAAATGAGGTTATCATTTTTCTTGTCCATCTAATCTGAATTTTTAAGTTTGAAACATAATCTTTAAAATGATAAAAAATTCTTCCCGAAAATTCTGTAAAATTTCATTATCGAGACAAACGTTCATACTACACATAGTACTCATTAATCAGTTTTAAATAGCTGCAATTCCAATATTTTATATGATGCAATTTTTCTGCTTCGAGTAGTTTAGATTTAAGATATTTTAGTTTTTGAAATACTACATTATATAATTTGATTCACTTAGCAAACAAAGCATTTCAATTATTATTGTATCGTCCTGTCATTTCATTGATAAATATCTAAAATATATTGATTGAATTTTTACGTATTATTTTATTCACATAACTTAAAATTTAGCTTTACAAATTTTTGAAATAACGCTTCTGTTGAAAAGTTTTTTATTTTTCTATTTGACCTGAGATCAAGAATACTACGAGTCGAGTTTTAGGTTTTCAGAGAAACAAAGAGCTCTTATAAACAGACTTTTGTTATAGGATACGACGGAAGATGATTCCAGAATAAACTATTGGCTATCGAAAGACGAAGTGGTAAGTAATATTGTTCTCTTCATGGCAGCAGGATATGAAACAACAGCAACTGCTTTGGCTTATGCTACATATGTACTAGCCAAACATCCAGATGTTCTTAAAAAACTTCAAGATGAAATTGATCAACTTCCAATAGACAGCGATGATAATATTAATGACGAAAAAATAAAAGAGTATCCTGACTACGACACTGTTACACACTTATCATATATGGATATGTTTATTTTGGAAGTATTAAGAATGTATCCAATTGGTAATTCTGGTCTTCAACGATGTGCTATGGAAGATACAGTTGTACAAGGAATTACCATTGAAAAAGGTAAGTTTGTTTTTAATGTTTCACAGATTGATATGTTTAGTAAAAGAAATAAAAATGAATAAAATAACTGCTTATTTCATGTATTCAACTGATAAAATTAATCAATATTAGAGTAAAGTCTAATATTAATTGATAGAAAAAGTGAATGATTTACTGTGCATCCTTCTGCTTTACTTATAAAAACTAACACAAATGATAACTTTTCAATTTTTTTATAGGTACTTCGGTGTATGCTGATTTTTATTCGATTCATTATGATCGCGAACTGTGGGGTCCTGATGATCCATATATTTTTCTACCTGAACGTCACAAAATCAAACGTCATCCAATGGCGTTTATAGCATTTGGAGCAGGTCCACGGAATTGTATTGGTATGCGTTTTGCATTGATCGAAATAAAAATGCTATTGACAAGACTTCTTCGTGAATATACGATTCTTCCAGGTGAACATCTTGAAAGTAATTTCAACATCCATGAAGAATTATTTGTCGTACCAGAAGCAATTTGGATCAAATTAGTCAAAAGAGAAACATAACTCTTTTTTTTATTTATAACTTGTAGTTAGATTTCAGGTAGTTGCTAGAAAATTTCATATTTTGTCACAATAAACTATATATTAAATCCTACGACTGTTTAATAGTAATACGTAGCTGATCAAATTTTAAAAGTCTAACGGTTTATAAGATCTTTAAATAAAAGTAAAATGATCTTCTAATCAATTCTCCGATGTTTCAAAGGAGACGATTGAAATGAATTTCATATGGTCTGCCTACTCTAAGAATTCTGTATATAGCGTAGGATAACACCACTCAATAAAACAAAATTGAAGATGATATAATCAATATTTTCGTTAAATTTAAAATTATATTAAGAAGAATATATTATCTATTTAACATTTTCATTAATATATTATATTTTAGAATAGTATACAGAAAGGATTATTGACAAAGATCTTGTTTTAGCGACTGTCTATCGCAAAAAAAATGTTGTGATTTTGAAAGTTCTATGTACATTTTATAAAAAAAATTCACATTCTTTAAGAATTCGTCTTGTTATTTGATAAGTACATAATTGACATTGTCAACTATTGACAAAAGTAAAACACTTAGAATTTGTAGTAATATATTTAGTTCTGGTATATTATGTATTTTAAAATAAAGGAAGATTTAGACCGCACCCGAAAACCAATCTGTAGCACCAGCAGTTCTAAAATAACAGAGAATAAAAAAAGAATTTATATAATTATTATATTGCTGACAATAGGTTTTATTATAGCATTATTAATTACTTTAAATTTATAGTTTAATTCAACAAATATACCATATAACAATTATTTTATTCTCTATCATTATTTGACTCATCAATAGGATAAAAACGAGACAGTTATTCATTTAAAATAGATATTATATAGTTTTAATATTTTAAATAAATAAATCACTCGAAATAATCGTCGTTAAATAACTGTAGCATGCAAATATGACTGATTTGAATAATCATTGCTCCTTGTAATTTTCATTATCAGAGAGTGCATCAATGCGAGTTCGTTCGGAACTCTTTTTATTCTATAATATCATTATTTTATCTTATATGATATATCAAACAAAATAAATATACGTTTGTTAGATTACATTAAACAACAAAATAAAATACTTTCAAAATCTATATCTGTAGAACTGAACATGACATTTGATTGTTTGACTACAAAGAAACGAAATTTATATAATATTCAAGAGTGAAATGAATTGCTTTGCCAATTAATTAACACTTTTAACACATATCACTTAACAAAAATCACCAATTTTTTTATTTTTGTTTTAAATCATTCGACCACATCAATCATCGATAAGTTTTTACTTAAATCAATTTTTTTTATCAGAAGTAAAGTGAAAAACCTGTTCGAATACGACCATA